GGCTCGGGGCGGCTGCAGCGGGTGGTGTTAGGATCCCGTGCGGGACTGAACCGTCCCGCTCCTCCCACTGGCACCTGTGGATGCAGAATGGCACTGATTGATGGTTTATATATTCATGGTTACCTTAACCTGGTTATTTAAACGGTTTGATTATATCCGAATACATCTTCTTTAGGAAATGGTGGATCAACTCTTCATGCTCTTCGGTTCTTGGAGGAGCAGTTTGGTGATCAGTGGACTTCCTTCACTGTGCTACTAATCCATTCTGGTAAATTCAGTTTTACATTCTTTGCTGTAAAATTATATAGGTTTTTTGTCTCTGGAGTAATACAATGGTAGAGAATTCGGAGTTGCRAAATACGCTTCCCTCAGAAAAGTAACTCGTGTGATCATTTGAAAATAGGTTAATGCTTATGAGACATTACTGTCACTTCAGCATTTCTCCTCAGCACTCCAATTGCTCAGTCAGTGGGGAAGAGATGTAATTCACAGGTGTGATTAAAGTTTCTGCCTAGAAATGTCCATTAAAGGAATGCAACCYGCTCTTGGGGACCTTGGACTCCTCACACCTCTGGACAGGTTGAATATTGCCTTCTTATCCACTTGGTCAGACCACTTCCAGAAGGGGAAGAACATCACTTCTACAGAGGAGAAAGAAACCRAGTGATAACAAGTCTTACAACCACACCTTTGCTTTTTTGGCTCATCACTGGCTTGAAATTCCCATCAGAAATGTAGGGGTTCTCCTCCAAGCTAAAAGCAGATATCAATTCCTTTTGTCTCTTCAGCAACAGATATCTCTGAAACAAAGGTAACAAAATAAATCACACTTTTAATATGAGCTATGGAAGGCTGACTGGGGTTTGGACAGGAGGCAGATCTGGTTTGGTATATAACCACGCTGAGAGGTTTTTAATGCCTTTGCACACACACTGTGAAATAGCTGCATAGGTTTAGTGTTTTGAGTGTCTGTGTGTAACTGGAAGTGTCCTTTTTGCAGGCGGTTCCAGCCAGCGTTTGCCAAGTGCCAGTGCCCTGGGGAAGATCTTCACAGCCCTGCCCTTGGGTGATCCCGTTTTGCAGATGCTGGAGCTGAAGCTGGCCATGTACATCGACTTCCCCCGTCACATGAAGCCAGGAGTCCTCATCACGTGTTCGGATGACATMGAGCTGTACAGCACTGCAGTCACAGAGTCCATCACATTTGATAAACCYGGGTTTACTGCCTTGGCTCACCCCTCAGATCTGGCAGTGGGCACCACTCACGGGGTGTTTGTGTTGGATCCATCCAGCTTTTCAGGGAAAGGAGGGCTGGAATACGCGTCCTGCCTGCGTTTCCTGCACAAGCCTGACGTGGGGACGATGTGGAAGAGTGGTGCAGTGTGTGTGAGAGGGGGTTGTCCCCAGCTCAGCTCTGCTGGGAACTGCAGCGATTTGGGAAAGGCTTTGGAGTGTGTGTACACAGACAGCGTGTTCTACATGGATCACAGCACTGCAAAGCTCCTGCTCACGTTCTACAAGCAGCTGGGCACGCTTTGCTGTGAAATAGATGCATATGGGGACTTTCTCCAGGCCCTGGGGCCTGCAGCCACTCCAGATTACACCAAAAACACGAGCAATGTCACCAGGGAGGATTCAGGGCTGGTGGAAATGCGGCAGCAGCTGTACCAGCTCCTGCARGGCACTGCCCTCAATGTCATCGTGCTCAACAACTCTCAGTTCTACCACATCGGAACCACTCAGGAGTATTTGTTCCATTTTACTGCTGAGAGCAGGCTGAGAGTGGAGCTTGGTTTGCAGCCTGTGGCTTTTAGCATCGTCCCTGSCACAGCAGAGAGCTCGGGTGGATCRAGCATCATGCAGAGCATCCTGGAGCCCGGCTGTGTGATAGGACAGGGCTCTGTCATTGAGTACTCCAGAATTGGGGCCGAGGTCTCACTGGGGAACAGCAGCATTGTCAGTGGGTCTGACATAGATTTCAGTGTAGAAATACCCTCAGACTGCTTCCTGAGCTCAGTAAGTGTGAGAATCAGTGACCGAGTGCAGTATGTCACCATGGTGTTCGGTGTAGGTGACAATTTGAAGCAGAGTGTGAAATCCCTGTCGGATATACACTGCCTCCAGTTTTTTGGRGCCAGCTTTCCACAATGCCTGCACCTCTGGGGCATGGAGGCATCAGAGCAGCTCTTCTCCTGTGAGGACACCCGGCTGGGCCTCTGGACTGCCAGCATTTTCCCTGTTTGTTCCACTCGGGGTGATTCAGTCAGAATGTCACTGCAGATGCTGAATTCTGTGCAGCAAATGTCACCTTTCAAACTGAGTGGCTTTCAGCTTTTGTCTGTTGAAGAAATGCTCGCCTACAAAGATGTGGAAGACATGCTGAAGTTTAGRAAGCAAATTTATGATGAAATCTGCTTACAAAGACAAAAAGAAAAGTCTGATTTTAGAAYGAACAGTACTTGAACAAATCTGTTTTCGTTTGTGGGTGAATGATTACTTCCCAACTTGTAAGGCAAAAGTACACAGATCTTCTCTCTGCTCTCATTGAAGTAGAATTGAAGAAATGGTGTAACATAATAAAGTAGCAAATGCAGATAAACTGTTCTTTTGATTGAAGTAGGGAAATATTTCAGATCTAAAAACACTAATTGGTAACTTTTCATGGGTTGCACATTATTGTGTTTTATAGTCTTTGTCAATAAGGATCTGATACAGAATAAATTAATTTTATATTTGACTGAAACTGCTTTAAAAGCTWTTAAAGTGTAGAATATTAGCTCCAGCAATATGGAATAATACAACAACAACTTACGTTTCTCTCTTTTGATGCTGCCTTTTTGCAATATAATTTCAGATAGATGTAAAATTGCTAAAAGTGCTTTCAATTCAAGACATGTTGTTTTAGGCATTAATGATTGTTTTCTCTTTTATAATTTTTTTTACATTTCCTGGTTTTCATCAGAGGAAAAAAGATTGGCATGAGAGTTTATTATTTTCCTTTGACTTGTAATATTGGGGTCAACACCTGTCATCAAGATACCATTTTTTTTTTAACTCATTGTTGTAAGAAGTGGTCTGACAGATGATAGAGAAGCTGCCAGCTCTTTGTTACCCATGAGCTGACTGATGTGCCATGTGAAAAGCAGCATTTTGTGTTTCTCTGAACAGAACTGTTGGAGTYCTTGGGGTGGTGGTTCCTCCTCCTGCAGGGCAGACCCCAGAGAGGTTCACTGGGAGTGGCACCACAGTGCCCATTTCCACAGAAAGTCCCTTCCCTTCTTCCCCCTCTGCAAATCAAATTTTATCAGTGAAATCCTCCTGTTTCTGGTTGAGATGCCCAAGATCCACTCCAAATAGATCAATCTGGTTTTGAGAGTGTGTTGTGTTGTATATCAGTATGATTCGTCTGTAAACATGATGCATCCTTTCCTCTTGGATTCCTCTGTGGGTTTTCATGTTTTATTTAACGTTTCATGATGACAGTGTTTATCTCCCTGCTGACTGAATTCCCAAATGGCACCTTTCTCCTGCCACCTACGAGGCAGCAGTGTGACATCCCCTGAGCATCACCCACCCTTCTTTCAGCTCTGCCAGGTTTCCTCTTCATTAATAAAGAAACCTTCCAGGAAGAAATGCAGAGGAGCCAAACAGGGAGGTTGGGAATTGCTGGAGTTAMCTTCAAAGGAATAAGAATTTCTGAGCAAAGAGAGGGTCTAAAAGGCAGTGTGAAATGTTAATTAAACAATGAGGCAGTAGATTTGGGAACACTCAATTCTGAGAGAAATGAAGTCACAAAGGGACAGTAATCACAGAGCTTGGAGCTGCCATTTGTGTATTGTCCTGTTTGCATTTTATATTCATCAATTGTTATGCAAAACATTGTAGGAGAAACAAATGTTTGAGACAGACTTTGCATCTTCAGTTGGAGGCCAAACTTTGTTTGGCACAGACTTTCCTGAGGGTTGCTGTGCTGCCAGGTGAGTTCTCAGAGTGTTTAATAACAGCAAAATGCACCCTTTTAACATGATTGTCCACTTTACTGTTACAATTGCATTTGTTCTGAATTCACTGAGTACTGTGTATTGATTTCATTAGTGGAAGCAAAATGGATAAAAACAGGAAGTGGATTTGCTTCTGGTTGTTAAGTATTGGGAAAAGAGAATGAGGAAAAGCAGTGACCAAATTTTGGAAAAGGTTGGGGTGGGTTGGGCCAGCAGCAGCTGTGGTTTAGGGAGCACTGTGAATTCCAGGATTTAAAAAAGTGCAGAAGTGTCATCCTGGTGGTAGCCATGGACTAGCACAGCCAASCTCCAGGTCACATCTTGAGGCAAAGATTTTAATGAAAAAAAAAATTATTGCAGTGGAATAAGCATAGATTTACCATGTGAGAAATATTGCACTGCTTGGAGTCTGTGTGTCACCCAATGCTTTCCTCTTACACTGATTTTTTTTTTTTTTTTTGTCTCAAATTGAAGGCAGATTTTGGTCAATATTCGCCCTAAATAACATCAGCAGGCTTAATGGATTTACTCCACAGGTATTGAAATATCTGGTATTGTATCATTTTTCATTTTGAAGCTGCAATCAAATTTAATGTCAAAATTGGTTATGAAAAACATTCCAACATGTATTTTATTTATRCAGAGGTATATTGATTATTTTCCCMTATGTTTTTGTCTCAYRAAGGGCTCTTGTCTGTGTATGTTTACATGCAGTCTGTACATTCATTCTCGGATTCCCCTCTTGGCAATAAATCCTTTTTCTTACGTAGCTTCCACTAGTTTTCCGTGATGAACAGATAGTGTATATTTGCCTGTTAAATTCCTGATGCATCCATCATCCCTGGCTGTCTCACCAAAGGGAACAGATCATTGTGAGGTTGAGATCAGGAGTTTGTGTAACTATGAGAGGAAATGGCCTGAGCTGTAGGGAATGTCAGTGCATGGAGTTTGGTACCAGGATGGCACTGGGGGCATCCCCTGCCCAGGGCTGTGAATTGAAGAGTTAAAATGCACATCCATTGGTGATTTTTCTCAAAAGGACTCAGCAGACACGAGGCTTGTTTTTGTGCAGGTTGAAGTGTGGCTTCAACCCACCATCTCCAGAGCAGCTGGTTCTGAATTTCCTGTGTCAGCCTCAGACCAAAATCCCAGAGCCTCAGTGAATTCCTGTTTGATGGAACTCTGCTGATGTCCCCATTCCTGGGAGATGGATGTGACACTGGGGACACAGGYTRGTGTGGCCCTGGCAGTGCTGGGGGAGTGGTTGRTGGTCTGGGAGGGTTTTTTCAGTCCAAATTCTTATTTAATCCTGCAGTTCTTTGGATTGCTGCTCTTTAGGAAGTGTGTACATTTGTAGCTCTAATTGCAGTCCCTACAGAAAGGGTCGTGTACACTGTGAGCACATCTTGTTCAAATCCAAAAGCCTGCAGACCTTCCTGACAATAATAATCCCAGTCTGATGTAGTAAATCCATGTTTGTATTTTATCCATTTTGCATTTACAGCTCCAGGTAATCTTTGTATTCCACAGTCTGATGTTAATGTTCTTGACAATAATTTTCTGCAGCCAGCTGGGATAAATGTATCTCAGGGAAACTGAGACTTGTGCAAGAGCACTCAGTAAAAAATTCAAGGCAAGATCGTAATAATTGAGGGGTTTCTTGTTTCCAGTACCAGGTTCTGAAAACAACATCACAACAGCCTGGCCCATGATTTTCCTGAAGTCTGAGAAATGAAAGATGCAGCAGTGACAGTGCCAGGCAGGCAGAACCTTCGTGGATGGGTCTCATCTGCTGAAACCTTGAGTTTGATTTTGGATGAGTCTCGTGGAGTTCCCAGGTGGGTGCAGTGTTCATGTGTCCTTTAGATCATTGTCTTCAGTCCTGAAATGCAATTCAGGCAGGTACAATCTCAAAGGCAAGATGAACTTTGAATGTTGGTTTTTTTTTTCCTGTCAGCTTTATTTAATTAGTTCAGCWGTGTAGTGCAATAATAGGGCTCACAGTGAACATCATTGCAGTGATTTCCCTGAATGCTTTGAGCATGCACCATGATCAGCAGAGGTTCAGCCCTGCTCTGTGTCACACTGGAACATCAGAGGGGTTATTTCAGTGGCCTTTGGTGCAGGAAACTGAAATCTGAGAAACAGAGCACTTAACAAAAGCACAGGGACAGCAGCTGAAATAAAAATGAGCAGCTGAGAGGGGTCTGTGCCAGGAGGGTTTGGAGAGRTGACAAGAGGAGTGAGCTCTGAGGATCAGCTGGATCTGCAGAGCAATGTTCTGCCTTGTCAGGGTGGTTTTGCTGCAGCTCACAGGTTCCAACCTCTGCTCCTTCCCAAACCTCTGACTCAAGAGCTTCATTTTCTGTTTTCTGCACTTGTGGAACGTAATTCCCCATGCAAAGGTCTCTGTGATGTTGTGAGAGCAGAAATAGCAGCGCTGTTGTGCTGTACATTGTGTTCCGTTAGCCTGTTCCGGTAACCTGTCCCGTTAACCTGTGTGCTTGCCTGAAATCCTTCACTGAGATGAGAACTCAGAACACCTGCCAAGGTCAATCACACACTTTAAATACATAATTATCCATATATCTATCTATATAAATATATTTATTTATAGATATATATATAAATATTTRTGTATATTTGTATTTCACTTTGAACTGTATCTCTCCCTTCCCAAGTGCCATACCCCGATTCTGCCATGTCCCCCCAGTGTCAGGGGATTGTGAGCTGTGACCATCCCTGTCCTCTCCAGGCTGGGGACCCCCTGCACTCCCCCTCACACAATTCCCGGGGTTCAGCTGCTTAAATTCCCTTTTCTCTACACAATCAGTAGCAAAGCTGCCACATTACCACTTCCCCCAGTTTGAAGTGTTCAGCAGTTGAAGGCAAGGTTTGTGTGTGAGTCACAGGAGGTTTTTAACCGAGCTGAGCAGTGTTTCTGTGATTTTACCCCGTGGACAGCAGGAGCTGTTTCACCCCATGGGCTGTTTCACCCCGTGCTATTGTTGCATGACATTCCTCTTGCACACTGTTTATTTTTAGCCAGAGACTATCACAAGTATTTTTCAGTGGGACTGTCACTGCCCCTGAGCAGGGAATCAAATTACTGCAAGAACTTTGCTGAAACAAAGAAGATMTATTGGACAAATGGGAAATTATAAATCTAGACCAAGCCAGACTTGCACGGGTAACTAATGTCACTTTTTTACAGGAGGTGCCATCCATCCATGGACCAGGAGCAAATGGTATTTCAGGAGATAACTCACTGCTGGTTTAGGCTTGAGTTCAAGGCTCAGGTATTGTTCTTGACTTAACCCAGATGCAGGCTGTGAAGGAAGACAAAAAGGCCAAAAAAGCTACTAAACTAAATTTATTTGTGCAATTGTATAAGGTCAAAATCACTTATATTACTGTGTTGATTTAACTCATACTTCATGAAAAAAATCTTTAAATGTCCAACCTTTTTCTGCTGTGTGTCTGTTTAGGAAATAAGAGCTAACAAATGCAAATAAGTTTTCTCTCAGGTATTATTTAATATTAAACTGTTTTTGGTAAGGATTCATACATAGGAGCTGTCTGAAATCCATGTATATGTGTCTGTAWTGGCTGCAGCAAGAACAGTCTAATAGCTGTAATGTTTTAAACTTTAATAGAAATATATATAAAACTGTGCAACTGGATGTTTAAAAATCGTTTTGGTTACTGGGACATTGTGTTCTGTGTGCTTTGAGGTGTTTTATCAATGAGGAGCTTTTGTTGTAGATGAGTGGAAAAAGAAAGTCAGTGAATCCTATGCCACGGTCACGGAGMGGCTGGAGGACGACCTGCAAATCAAGGAGAAGGAGATGGCAGAGTTGAAGAATGTCTTCAGGTAAAATATTCTGGGAATCTGTTCATTCATTTCTTTCAATGTTTTTTTATGGTGTTTTTTATGCACAGACTTTCTCCTGTATGGAGTGCGTGTTCCTTATATCTATTTTTGGGAATATCACAGTGCTGGGCAGAGCCCACAGCAGAGTACCAAAATCAGTGGCTGCTGATCATTAATGCCAATATTTTACAACAAACACCTACATACTTTTGTGAATGTCTGATTTTGCTGTGCAATTCTCAGTTTTGCTGGTGTGTTTCTGCAGCCAGGAATATTGCTGAAGCATCACAGTAAACAAACACAAAAGCAGTGGATTCCAAATCAGGACTGGAATGGTTTCTCAGGGTAGCACATGTGACACCATGGGGGAATSAGTTCAGTCTGGTCTTTTGAGTGTCAAAAATCCAATTATCACTTCTTGTCTATAGGAGAAATATTAACTATGGGTGTTTTTAGTTTTCCAAGRCTGTAATACTTGGAGTGTTTGATGGATCAGTAACAAATCCATCTGTGCTGARGGACCCACAAGGCTCAATGACAAAAGCTGAAATGTCCAAGTGTGGTCTCAACAACGTGAGCACAAGTGATCCCTGTCCCTGAGATCTCATTTGGGGACTATAAACTCACTTTTTTATAGGCTTTTCCTGGTTATTCTTTTCACTTAGCAAGATGGCCCCTGCTCAGCATTTTAGGATCAATATACACATTTTAAAAATACTTTAAAGTTATTATTGCATTAATGCAGAAACTGAGTTTCTGTGGATTATTTGTATTTTAAAAAGTCTTTCCTCTTTTTTCCCATAATTTAGATGAATCTAGAATGTATATATTGTGATTGCATAGCAGGACTGCTCAGAAAACAATAAATCTGGACCACTCCTGATAGTGGTAAAGTATTTCTAGATGTCCAGACTGAAAACTGAGTATGAATTCAGCCTTGTGTCTAAAAAAAATTACACTGAGATTTCTCTTGTAAATGTTTCCCAAATGCAACAAGCTGTGCTGAAAGATGAAAGCAGTAATCATGTGTAAAATGCCTTTTTCAGCTCCGAGGAAGCCTTCTGCAAAGTCAATCTGAATTTCCGCACGGAGAACGGGCTGTCCCTGCTGCACCTGTGCTGTGTCTGTGGCGGTGGGTATCTGTG